ATTTGTCGTTTCTTAAAATGAAACCTTACTGATTTTGCTTTCCATGATTACAGAACGAATTTGGGATACTCAGAAAGATCCATCTTCCTTAAACATAAGTATGTTAATGGTTGAGGAGACCGTCGTTTTTCTAACCTTTAAACTGATCAGAAACAATTTTTTTAATCAGGAAATTTTGAATATTTCCAATTTCTCGTTATCAACAGTTTACTGCGAAGAAAATATATATTTAACTCGAAGAAAATGGAAAATTGTACTTCCTAGTGATTGGTTTTTTTTAGAATTCACACAGAGGTGCTTTATGATATTAGAATGATAGGTAAAATAAGATAAAGATCAAGAAAATGTTTGGGCAGGAGTAGATGTGGTAGATGGGAAACACACTGAACTGGACGTCAATATCCGGCTAATTAATTTGCATTTGCAACACACATTTGACACACTTTCATTATCTACCCTCTTTCTACTGCCAAAGCTCAAACTATATCACAACTAATGGAATGCAGCATTACTATAATCAGAGATGGAAATGCAAATACCTTGAGCAAAAGAAAAAGAGTAGCAGGGATCTTCAAATCAGTTTTGGCCACTATAATGTTTGGAGGTCCAGAAATCAATCGATAGCTTCATATTTAGATCCTGCGTATCTTCCGTTGGTTAAAGAAATCTCTCCGTATAACTTTTTTTAATATTTTTTTCGTTGCTTGTTCAGGTTGGTCTTTAAAGGGGATGTTTTGTCAGGTACGTTGCAGTTGTTCCTTTTACACTTGGATATAATTAAATTTGCACTTCAAACACGGGCTTATTTGCAAATGCAGCATTAAATGAAACATCTTACTTTTTCTGTTATTGGTAAGTATGCTTTTCTATAGTCTTACTTGTTTAACGATGAGTAGATGAAAAAATTCCTTAATAAAATCTAAAGGATATTAGGACAACCTGGTTTATTAATATGACAATGCTAGCATTACCTCAACCATATTTTAAGTGTAAGAATTAGATTTTTGGATGGAAGCAGGAATGGTTGAGGGAAGGATCTCTTGTCGCACAGAACGACGCCTTGCTATCGCTAACCATATTCTTTTATTTTTTTCCAACGCATTTTGGTTCACGAAACCATCTGCATGTCTTCCTTGAATGTATTGATAAAAATACAGATTTCTTTTGATTCCATCAAACAATCAAAAAAATTAATAAAGCCTTTAAAGTCAGACTCCATTTTACGTTATGCATAAGCGTGGAAAGGGAAAAAAGAAAGCAGAGGGGATGCTGCAAATTTTTATCTCCAGGTAATTGCCGTTTGCTTTTTGGAAGCTTTTTCTTATTATTCGGATTCGTTTTTAATTGTCTACAGTACGGGTAAAATTAACAGGAAATATAAAGCATCAAAAGCGGTCGAAGTTCTGACCAAACTATGAGCTAAACTAAATTTCGTCAGTGGAAAATTTAAGCATTTTTCAGGAAAATTTACTTTCACAGCAATATTCCATATTTAGCTCTGTTACAGTTGGAAAAAACATCGTACTAGGCAATTCTGAGGAAAGTCCTGACCAGTAAGTATTAGTAATTTCAGTAAGTTATGTTCTGTTAAGGATCGGATAAGGCCAGTAAGTTATGTTCTGTTCAAGATCAGAGGCTACAGTACATATGGTAAAGATAGCTTATGAATTGGAGTAAGGGGAAGTGATAACTTAAACTGTAATAAAAAATAGCCGACAAAATTTGATAAACTAGTGGGGTTATGAAATCCATCTGCTAGATTGCTAACGCCAAGCAGTAAGTATTATACGTTATTTGTGAAATGAAATTCGTTTGAAAATTATTACTGTTGAAGAACGATGATGTAACAGTGCTAACATTAAAGCTGTCTATGCAAAAAATTCCATCTTAATTTAGTTTTTCATTTTGTCCCGTTTTTTTTTTCCTTGTCATTATATCATCTTTATTTATCTTTGTTGAAACACTTATCTTCGTTGGGAGGAGAATTTGAGCCATTTCAACTTCATTTTCAAGAGAAATGTTGGTCTTAAGAAACTTTCACCTTTTTTTAGCGTTTTCAATAACTTTAATCAGCATCTCTTCTGCTGGAATTGATATTTTAACTCTTCATCTTGTACTCAGACCTTTTTACCTGTGTTGGTATTCCCTTGACAAGTACCCTATTTATTGATGTTGAAATTAAAAACAGAATAAGTACATCTGTTCACTGGAGCTGGTCTTGAATGTTTTAGTTCACAAACATACCTAGCAAACTTATTCGGCAAGGCACAGTTTAAATGGAAGATGGTGTTTTTTAAAGTTTAAATGGAAGGTGGTGTTTTTGATTCGAATGTTCTTCCTGTCATTCCTGAACTGATTATTTGATTGGAATGGAGACAATAACTGAGTTTTATATAAGCTTAGCCGAATATAGGCTAGTCTGGCAGGTGCTGTGAAATTGATTTTCGAAGAACGAGCTGGTCAACTTATTGACATGTCTCAAACGGTTTCATCAAATGAAATAGATTTTACTATTGTCTTGACTGAATTTCCACTTGCAGTATATATCTCTATTTGGTCACTATAAAGAGTACTGAAGGATCAGTTGAAAAAAAAATGAGGGTTATGAACAAATCTAAAATTAATTAAAAAATTAAAATGGGAATTCCAGTTAAAAAATACTTTTTCGGATAAGAATTTATGAAACCTACAATGAGAACCATGCAGTGACCAAATAGAGATATATAGTAGTTATGCGGAGATGCTGAAATCAAAGAAGCGAGGAGAATAGTTAAAACTGATACCTCAGCCACAAATTCGAAACGATAAATTGGCAAAAGTAAGAGTACATGAGTCGACGGGCAAAAAAGTGGCTCAAGGCCTGGCTTATATAGTCCGATATTGCTTACTACTTTTTAGTCTATAAGAAGCAAAGCATCCCTCATGATTAACCATTATATTTGTTTTTTTTATCGCCAACTATTCTCATTTCTTCGCCTTATTTTGTCCGTTTGTATAAGCGTCTCTCTACTTGCTCTTTTGAGGATTTGCGCTTGGCTTCTAGACTCTAGTTTCATTTTCGATCTAGAAATTAGCAGAATAGGAGTAAATTTGATCAAATTCATCCTCGTTGAACAGAGCCAGGATGAATATGAATGAAGAAGGAAATAACTTTTTTAATGAAATATGGTTACTTTTAAAAGACAGTTCAATTACAATCAGTGCAAATACCCGTTGTTGGGAGGGGCATTTCGAAGCGAGCTGCTCAGTTCGTATTGGGTTGTGTTTAAATACTTCTTTTGAAAACTTCACTTAATCTCAGCTTTTTCCCAAGAAAGTTCGATTTTCAATATTTCGGTTTCAAACCCCAAATTTTGTAAGCAGTGCATGAATAATTTTGAATGTAGGAAGATATAGTTTTTTTTTGGAGATTACTGCCTTTTGAAATGAATGAGGCGTCAACTTTAGACTTCCTCTTATGTGAGGACTTCCGAGAATTTGGGCTACGAGTTGTCTGCTGATCTTTCACCTAATCTTGTAAGCAGTTTGGTAACTTACTAGTAATTGGGGCAATTTCTTTTTATTTTGTCGTCTCTTGAAACCAGTGTAATTTAGTTCAGTGATTGCAGTAAACTAAGGCTATCTATTCACTCCCTGTTGTGCGGGAATCATGCTTGCAAAGTGAGAAAGTTTGACAGAATAGTTAATCTTGAATTAAGTTAAGAGAAATGTAGTATATTTCATTTGATACTTATTGATACTCCTTTATGAGATTCGAAATGGTGTTTTCTTTGCAGTGTTTGTCATTTGATGAACGGACATACGGAGCATCGGAGTGGTAGATGGGATCGGCAAGAGCTGTACCGTTCAACAATGCAAGCATTGGAAGGCAGATGCTCTACACGATCCAATCTTGCCAAAGAATTCGAAATGCAAATACGTGAATTCACCGCAACTGTGGGTGTAACTCTTTTCTGGGAGAGTTTTAAGCAAAAGTTTAATGAAAAATCAAATTATCGAGTGGGTCATGTCCCGTACATTTGTTTGCCATTGATCCTTTGCAAATGTTCGACTGAATTGATTATTCAGATCGAATTCGGCATCGAATTTTTCAGCTGTTTTTCAGTTTGTTGTAGACTACCTTTCTGATTGGATTTTGTCAAAAGTCTACTAGTTTTCGCTTTTTTTTTTTTTTTGTCTAAATCGAATGACAATCGATCTGTTGGAAGACTCAAATCACGTGACATCAAACATAATTCATACAAGCTCATAAATGTTTAAAAAGAATCTTGCTACTACTGGTAAAAAATGATAGCCGGAAAGTAAACAGACTGAATGAGAGCAGAGTTTAATAGTTTTGGATAGTAAACGATGTTTGAAGATTGCATGTCGCTGTATGTTACAAATACTGAAAAAATTTTGAAGTCCTACTATAGTTAGCAGCTATATGTGCTAAATTTGATTATGGAGAGGCATTAATTATCCCTGTCATCATTGATAAGGTGCACTATGAAACGTCGTAAAAGATTGCTCATTAAAGAAACATTCAAAACAGTCACTCTTTGATTTCTATTTAAATTTCTTTTTCAAACTAGAAAATTCGTTTTAAATAAAATTCTTTTCCGATCTAGAAAAATTTAACAAAATTGCGAATTAGAAAATTATTTTGCATAGAAAGCGAACATTCTGTATCAATTTTAGTTGGAATGTCACTTGGTTGATCTCCTCCGGAAACGTCTTGAGGAACTGAACGAACCGGATCGTTTGCTTATTTCGAGGCTTAACAGAGTTCGTTACATTCATTTTAATTTGTTTCTTTCAACTGAATTATTTTTTTTTTTCTAGTAAGAAGAAAACGTATTGTCTGGTTTGTTTTCTAATTTAAATCTCAGGTTACGAAGTTAGGATGTAGCAGTCTATCGTGGCGGATAGAAGACTTGTATTATAAGTACTAAGGGTTTCGAATAAATCAATTCACTTTTTGTGAACATTTACTTATCAAAATTAGCAATTAGGAAAGATAATGCTGGATCAAGAACACTGGTTTAAATAAGCAGCACCAATATTAGCTCCTCTAAGTTATGGACGGTCAACATTCATTACATTTCAGCTTTGAGTTTGAGGTACAATAATAGATTTACAAATTTCAGCCTTAAGTTTAGGGTGAGATGATTTGCCGCTATTAGTATGATAAGTTACCTTTTTTAATAATGAAGGAATTCCAGCCCTTTAGCGTATTATAATTTCTTTAGACTTAGTCATCCGTAGATTTTCTAAAAGAAGTTGGAGGCGTCTGCTATCGGATGTCGCATTAAATTTGTTGCTGACGAAGCTGCTGTTAGCATAAAATTTAGTAATTAATTTAAACTACAGTTTTAGTAGCTGAAATACGATAATCTTGCACCATCCTTTAATAAGATATCCTGCAATATCACACTTCGAAAGATTTGATTCAAAAGAAAGAATAGAGATTTTTTCTTAATTACTAAATTTATTTGTCTTTAGAGGGGTATGGAATGGGCTTATTACATTAAAAAAAAAAAAAAAAAAAAAACAAGTGTAATCTATTCTTATTGAAAATAGGCTTCGTTCGCAGAGGAGAAAGAAATAGTGGGCTTATCGGAATTTTCGAATTTTTAGGCTTTGTGCGAGTTGGGAGACAGTAATTCATCAGTGCTCAGTCGACCTCTTTATCATATGCTCTCTCCCACTAGGCCAGCTCATCAAGTTTGGACTATGTGCAGCAAAGATCCCGAACGGTTGGTTGCAGTTCCCTTTTAGTATCAACAGATTGGTTTTCGGAATAGGCATTAATTTTAATATGGATTTTTATCAAGGGATTTACTCATCATATTGATGCAAATTGCTGCTTTAAATTATAAGTCTATCAATAGATCTTTTTAGGTTGAAGAATTTGGTTTCTGAAGTTTGTCATTTGGCCAATATCACATGCGATAATGGAGATGTATTTTATTTTGAGTCTTGAAAAATTTTTTTGCGTTTTAATATTTTCACCAAGAAAGGTTTTTCAAAAATTTTTTGGTGTAAAAGAACAAAAGTTTTCGGTAATTAAAAAATGGAACGTGAACAGAGGATGACGTGAGTAGAGTGTTTGCAGTTTGATTTTTCAAAAAGTTTAATTTTTTTTCTTTAGGAACAGAATTCGTGTCAAATAAAATTCAGTGCTGCACTACCATCGGCATGGAGTGCTGCTGACTGCGCCAAATATTTGATTGAGAAGCAAGAAGTAGCAAAAGACATGTTATCTGAACGACGGGCACGACATTTCGGCAGTTATCGTAGTATGAAAAATGGGTACTCGTTCTTTTCTAATTGATTATATGAGTTTTTTTGTTCAGCTACGTAGGCTTTCCATATTGAGTGTTTAAACTGTATTTAATTGGAATTCCGTCCAAGTTTCATACAGATTTTAATAAGTTTATGAGTAAGATGAGGCCCTCAACCACTTTTTTCTACTATCTCATGCCATTTCAAATCTTATAACAGTAAAGATTAATTTCTCAAATGTAAACAGGAACTTGCATTGTCCTATTGTTGAGTAAATTATATCTGTCAAAAATTTAATTGAAATAAATTAATTTAAGGAGAGTTTCATAACGAAAATTTCTTTGAGGAGATAAAAAAGAATAGTATCGCCTACAATATATTAGATCTTTGGGAGTCCTGGAAGAAAAATAATTTAAATTTTGATTAATTTCACAAATGTTGAAATATTCCCTCTCTGCTGTACTTTCCATCTTCAGTTTTTCGCTGATGAAATCAGCATCTGCAACACTGGAAAGGTCAACATCTTCACTTCCAACGCTTGTTTCTCTTGATACTCTGACAAACCGCTCGAAAAAAGATCCATCGATTGATTCAAGACCATTCAGTGAATTAGCTAAAGAGAAATCGGATTCTGACAAAATATCGGACAGACAATTGTTTACCAAAGATAGCAGGACGCAGATACCGCTTGAACCTAATGTTTTTGTGAGTTGTTGAAGTCGAAAAATTTACATCTGTATGTGCTCCCTATTTCTCTTATTATTTTATCTATTTTTATTTCATGTTTCCTTTACTTCTATCAGTATATTTTTCATATCTGCTTTGTTCTGTTTCACCTTTTATCCTTCAATTTTATCAGTACAGTTAGCTGTATTTTATTTTCTGTATTTTTGTTAAAATTTTTTATTTGTTTTCTTCATTCATACATTTTGACCATCCAATTTTTTTCTTTTTCGGATTTTAGGTTCGTGAAATGAGGCAACAATCATTTGGGAAATCGTCTCTTACCGATGAATCAGATTCAGCTTGCGCTTTGAAAGAAGAAGCTTTTAAGTAATATGTATTGCTTATTTGTCTGTCCGTTTTCATTTATTTAATGTGATCTTCCATATTTATGTTCATCTGTTCTATCTATATTTTAAGGCTTGCCAAAACTGAAAATCAACGAAACTCAATGTCTTTTGGGTGACGTATTGACTTTTTATAAAATATTTTCAGTTCGACAAGTCCTTCAGCGGCGTCTTCCATCCCCGTGTGCCAGACGGATAGCTCATACGATAGTCATGATGTTGGTTTTATCATTGTTTTAAATTAAGTATTTAATCTTTCCTTTGATGTAGCAATCATAAACGCATTGCATCGTGTCTGGTTTTGGTTTTGAAAGTGAAGGTGAGGGAGAGCTGCGAAAATGGAACATCGTGAATTGCATTTTTTTGGCACTGATATGGGAAAAGTAGGGATGGACTTTCGCGAATGCTGTCTTCCTTTTCAGCAGTTGTTTACGTTCAACTCATCATCAGTTCCATATTTTTCTAATGTAACCAAATCCACATCATATTTTCAATTTATTAACTTAGGTTTCTGAACAATCTCCATAGTTTTTAAGAAACTTTAATTTTAATTTATCTCCTCCTTTTGTTTTACAGTTTCAAGCTCCATTGTTTGAGCAGGCGATATCCAGTTGTAACCCGTCAACGTCAACTACCGTTACATTAGGAAATCTGCCAATGGAGCTAAATTTCATGCGTTTCGGTGAAAAGTTGTTTTCTCGACCAATTGATATTATTTCTTTACCCAATATTTTTACCAAAAAACAACTCCTCGCTGTTTCCGATAGTTGTGGAGGTAAATTTTTGATTTTTCAGATTCTTGACTTATTTCATTTGTCTCATCGACTGTTTTGGACCAGTATACTGTATGATATTAGAACATGGATGGAAGACCTTTTTGACTTGAAATCTCATGTTTCATTTTAAAAATCTCGGATATGACTTCTGCTTCCTACTCGAATTCTTATTTTGGAAATTGTGGGATTGGTTAATAAGTTTTTTCAGTGTGCATTGTTACTATATTTCTGTGCTTGTATGCCTCTCTTCAGTTTTCACTGCTAGAATTTAAGGTTTCCGAAATACTAATTTCCGTTCCAGGTGTATATATAGTAACATGTAAGGGAGAAGTGTTGCAACATCTGCCAACACGAGACTGTTCGGCATCATCATTGACAATTGACATGACAAGTTGGCGTCTTCTAGTTAGCGTAATGCACAGCAAAGGGCGAAGTATACATGCATTTGATATTACAAATCGTTTCAAAAAAGTAGAGGTGAATTTTCTTTACATCATTCTGTTTCTTCGGAACACAATGACTCTGAGAAACTTTTGGATATTTTAGATTTGGTTTCTGAATATAGATTTTTGAGGTTCGAAAATCATCTAGATTTATCGGGTCTTCTTAGAGGTTCTACAGCATAGTGCTGGCAGATATATAGTGTATATTTAATTTTCTTACTCAGGTAATTCCTTGTCCCAAAGAACCAAAAATCGAGATGAGCAGAACGCGTTGGATAACAGTCAGTCCACGCGGCGAATTATTCGCAGTTTCTGGAGACAACCATCGATCAGCAATATGGATGTATAATCAATCCAGGAAAGTCAGCCTTTTTATGCAATAAATCTTTTAGTTTGAATAATCCTTTACGACTGTGAAATTGAGAATTCAATTTCGAATAACTATTTAAATCTACTCACTAATTTAAAAAGTGCCAAACTTCCTTAAATCTTCGTTTCTTTTTTGAGGGATGGAAAATCCTGAAGGAGTCGAGGAAAACTCGGTACCAGTATCTTCGAGTGGCCGAAGATCAAGCCGAATACAAGTTTGCCTTCAAATTTTCCTATTAGAAGCATGAGCTTAGAAAAAAGTCCTAAATTATAATTCGGAATTCGCCAAAATTCTTGGTTAGCTCGAAACCCTTTGATTAACTATATTTAAAAATTTTTATTTACATAAAAAGCATATGGTATAGCTCAACGCATTCATGATGACTTGCTTGATAACCGCACAAGTAGATCTGCCTTAGGAAAGAGATTCCTACAACGTTAGAGATCATTTAATCCTATCCTTTGAGCTTTTGTTTCTTGCTTTTTTTTTTATCAGTTGGATCTGTTTTCAGAGCTGTGGTACTACTAACATGTGATGCTGCTCAAAACCGTATATTGCTTTTCGTAGCGGATCACACTGGTACACTAATCAACGAATATGACTTAACGAAAACGTATAAACTCTATGAATGTATAAAAAATCCAGCTAGTGCTGTTGTTGATTCAGTAAGTTAGTACGTACATTAATTTGTATAGTAATAGCTCTTCATCCCAGTCAGCACTAGTATACAAAACATTCGTAAAGTTACTGCTTGGTTTTAGTTGGCTTTCAACTTTTAAGTCATATATGTTCAATTTTCTTTAGCTTGGGAATTTGTTGGTGCTTGACTATGCCACTAGTCGTTTATGGGTATTGTTGGGCAGTACGAAAGGAATGCGTCACATAAAAGAAATTGTTATTCCTACTCCACTGGGTCCTCAAGAAGTCCTCGGAATCACCACACATGTAAGTTGATTTTTTTTTCAATTTTATATAAATTTTCATTCAGTTTTCGTTTTTCCTAATTCTTTTTATCAGAATTAATTGAGTTCATTCTTCAAGTTTACTAGATGTGAGTTCACCAATTATGTTGAACTTACCTTTTTAACAGGGTTACTTTGTGAAACATATGTGGTTTTTACTTGATTTTCAGGGTGACTGGATCTATATGACTTGTTTTGCCCGGCGGGAAGTTATTTGCTTAAGGTATTTGGTGAATGGCGTATTAGCACCGTCATGCTGCACAACCACCTTAGAAACGCCGAAGTCAGATCGAAGAGCTATTTCATTACCAAGACCAACTAGGAAACCGAATCAGGTTTAATCACTAACAGTGACGTTTTCCTTTCGGATCTTGTATCTCTTTGGTTATTTACCCCTGTGAAAACAAATGGTGATGTTTTCTGAAAGTATCTTCAACACATATCTAACTACACTTGCCGAGAAAAATTTTCTTTCAGAATGAATTTCTATAAACATTTTGTTTGGTTTTGTTTCGGACTTCACTTTTTTTTTCAATTCAGAAACTAAGAAATATAGCTGGTAAAATTTCAAAATTCTTGTTTCTGAACAAGTTCCACGAACGAAAACTTACCATTTATGAATTGTAATCCTGTGAAACACTGCAAGTAACTGGGATTTTATCCTTCCAAAATTCAACTGTTTTTATTTTGGAATTATTAATTTTCTCATTAACTTTCAAAAAAACTAGAAAAAGTTATATTTGACTTTTTGCAAATAACTTAATAAAATAGCTCGGCATTCTTTCTTAATTTCAAATACGGAAATGCAAATTACTGGATTCAAAATGACTTCTATGTCACTGCGTCTTACTGTCTTCGTTTCTCCATATATGCTCATCGTTTAATTTTGACTGTGATTAATTGTGCCGCTTAATTCAGAATAAATGGTGATTCCACAAGTGATGTGCTAGTCCATATACCACTTCTCTTAATTATTGTTTATATATTTTTGTTGCTAAGGCACTGCTTATATCTTTTGTGCCTTTCAATTCTTATTTTTATATTATTCGCCCTATTTTTTGTCTGTTATCATTCATGTCTTCAAGACTGCTTCATATCTCCCCATTTTTTACTACTTTTTACTTTCTAGCAGAAATTTGCTCAAAAATTCTGAAGGGAATATTGTCAATATGAAACTTTCTCTTAAGATTTGAAATTTCTCAAGGCCTCCATAAAATTTTTGATGCTTCATTTCTCTCAAGCTGTTACGTTTCTTGCATCCTATGTACAAATTCGCTATTGAGATTTTGAAGGGTGTTTGAAAATCCTGATTTCAATTTATTTCTACGTAAGAGTTGTATTCGTTATTCAATTCAAATATTTTCACGTTTATTTGACAATATTATATAGTTATCGCAAAGGATCAGCGCCTTATCTTGGACTATTTCTTGCCTTTAATTTTTTTTTTTTTTGTTCCTACCAATTTTCTCGTTTTTGTTCATATCATTGAGATTAAATGTTTAAACTTTCTTCGAGAGTTTTCTAAAATATAATGGCCTTTAATTTTTATTCTCTCCACATAATTTAACCAGGTTTAAATGGAAATATTCTTTATTTTTGAGTGCTAATTTTTTTAGCAAATGCTATGTTTCATGAAATATTTTTGAAATGTGATAGGAAAATGAAGTTTAAATTTTTCCCTCCAGCATAAGAAAAACTTTGCTTACTTATAATTGCAATCGTAATTGGCATTGAATCTTGCTTCTCCTTTATTTGTAAATTGTCCTATTTCCTTTACCTTCTTTGCTTCTAATTTCTATTCCTCTTCCTACCAGAAGTATCACTTATTTCCTTACTTTTTTTTCTAAAACATCAGTTATCGTGCTGAAAATGATTGTATCATTTGTCTTAGTTTTCAGCAATGAAGTTCTCTTTGTAAATCATATTTATCATTTTTTAGTAAGTTGCATAAAATTCCCCACATATGTACTTGTGCTAGCAACATAATAAATGTGAAGGAAGGAGGAAAATCGTTCGTCGCATCCATCGTCCTTTTCGCCACTGGATCAATTCGTTATTGCAAAAAGAAAACCTGAGTTCATAGTAACTGCTACAATTTTTCTTATTTGGAACTTTTTCGGAACAAGTAATAACTTTTATTTTGTTGTAGTTGCTCATTCAACAACAGTTACCGGTTCTGATTGTGTCAACGTGTTTTCTCTAATTACAAGCCTTGTTAATGATTCACATAAAACTAAGTTCATCATACTACTGCATCTGACCATTTAAAATCTCTTCCGGAGCAACCATTAACTTGTTCCATGTAAATTAACTCGATTTTCAGAAGAAAAAGAATAATTTGGAACTGGCCTGAAATAAGTTGCAGTCAAATTCAGATGCGAGCAATACAGTTATGTAGAATGCACTTCTCAATAGTAGCAAAAGGTTGCTTTAAAATGTACTCAAAAATATTAATGTTTGATCTACTACTGGTGTTTCATGTATTGTGTTTGTAATTTACTGCTCTTTTCGTATTCACTTTACTTTCGATACTATTGGAGTTACGTAGCAATTTGTTATCCCTATGCAGCTTTATGGTATCGCTCAGATAACTTCAAAATATAATCCTTTGTCTTTTGAACGTCAATGAAAAAATTCTGGATAACCGCAAGGAACCGCTAAGGAAGAACAGCCACATGCCTCGATAACTTCAACAACAATATAGATCTCTTTTGTATCCTTCAGATAATAACACCTGAAAAGGATGCTGGCAGTGATATTTTCTGCATGATATTGTAAGAAATTCGAATTATTTGGAATGGAATCCAATCCCTTCTTGCTTTTCGTTTCTACCTCTTCTCCGGATCTATCCTTATTGGATAAAAAGACACGCAAAATGAATGTTTGATTTAATTCGGACTTTTCTCCACTTTTTTTAATTTTTATTCGCTAAGATTAAGATTCAATGCATCATGAAAAATCAGTGGCTTATTTGATTTCTTGATAGGTAAACATTTGCTATCAATTAACTGGCTTTATGATCCTTACAAATAGATGGGAAACAAGGAGGTGGAACTTTCCATGTTTCATGTATTCAGTAACACTCGTTGCTACTAATGAGAGTGAAAAAGAAAGCAGTTGATCCACTGAGTAGGAAAGTTTCGAGAAAGAAAAAGAATGAGAAACAACGTTTGGAACAAGAAATACAAACTTTTCCAAGCATTACATAATTTCACTTCCTCCTTTCCATACTTTTTCAGCTCAGTAAATTTGTTCGAACTAAAATTTTGAAATTAATATTATTGCAGTAATGATTTTGTCTAGGATTATCATTTAAACCAGTTTCTCGCAGTAACTCGAACTCACCGGGATGTCCAATGTAATCCCTCTGGAAGAAATCAAGAATAGCATTATTATCAGTCTATTTTTGTTTTTCTCAGAATGCATTTCCATAATTAGGTTTTTCAGTTGCTTGTTATGCTGAACTTTGTCATAATTTCAAATCTGGCTTAAAATTATACTTAATTTTTGTTTTGCTTATTAAAATAAAGTGCGGGAAATCATATTAGCATTGACAACATTTACAATAAAGTGAGCTAAATAAAATGATCCAGTCGTAAGCATTTCGTAAAACCCAGTTTTATCCAGCGCTCCCTTTCGTGTACAAAATTATATAACCGGAAGATGCTTTACACCGAACGATTATGCCCGGTAATGTTACGATAACTTTCAATTGTTGAAACATGAATAGTTGATTGAATCTGGGTAATTAAAATTCTAGAAATACTAGGTTTATTCTTCAAAAAATTTTGTTTAGTAGTAGCCGTGTAAACAATTTAGATTGATGATTATTCACTGTCTTTTTTTTCCCTGGAAAGTTACACGGAGCGGAGACGATGATGAACTCTTCTTAGCTGTTATTATTTCATCAAAAAATGAAATACGTAGAAATTTCACTTGGGAAAATTTTGTGATTTTGTCAATTTCAAGCTCCTTTCATGTAATTTAATGTGTCCTGTAGAGAGTAAGAAAAGTTATTGACAGGTCATCCGCAAGACTAACTAATAGTAGGAATAAGAGACATTAGTTTGTGATTAATATCTCTATCAACCTTTTTGCTCCTGGAAAATTCAAATCAGTGTTAATCATCAGCAAGTAATATCTTGTTTGTTTTCCACTTATTTATTTCAACAACTAATTGTAATTAAGCAAATGAATTTTCATATTAAAAACTACAACTAAGTTCCTGTTCCTATTATCCACAATTACTTGTAAGTGCTGTTTCCTTATCTTTTCATCACTTAATTATCTTTAATTATATGGTATTATGTTTATTATTTGAAATGAAAGGGAAAGATGTGGCAAAGTTACTTATAACTTTATAACAGAGAGAGAGATATGCTGATTGTGGGGAATGTCGGATGAAAATTAAAGGATGTCATACACTTCGTAAATTTACTTATATTCTACTTTTTATTTTATTTTTACTTAAACCATTGACCAACCCGTCAAATTTGGTGTAAATACTAAAGAAACTGAAGGCTTGTCTTGCTTTATGCTTTAACACCAATTTGTTGTTGTTATCTCCACGTTACAAGTGACTTTATTTAAGATTTCATTTTGATAAGAGACTTCAGACTTCATTTAATTCATATTTCTTAAGATAGGAAATACTTCTGCAGTATCGTAGATCAACAATCAGTAATTATTATTATTAAATGGTTCTTAGTGATAATAATAATTTCAATCATTTTCGGATAATAATAATCATGGAATGAAGTGTTTGGTGATAAATGGAATATATATCGTTCATTTAACTAATCTGAACATATCCGCCATTTCATTTTTCACCTACAGTCTTAAATCTAATACTTTACTTTATCTAATAATTTTATCTGTTAGAAGGTTTATTTTTTCACTTACATATCGTTCGTTCTCCCTTTCTACAAAATAAATTCTTCACAGTACGTTTTTCAAAATTTCATTGAATACTTTCATTAGTTGCCACTATATTTTTTTTGCCTGTTTGATAAAAATAATCAAAGCATTCAGTAATCTGAACATAATCATCGTTATTACCGTTACTGCCATGATTATTATTATCACCATTATTATCATTCTAGTTGCAATCACTTCAACAATTTCCCAATACTTGTTTAGGATACCTTGAAAGTAAATTGCTTATAGCTTATAAGAAAGTATTTATGATGTATGGCTGAGCTATTAAACTTCAGAAGTCAATCGATACATACACGTTCAAGCATTGATTAAATGCGATAATTCTGGTGATGCTTTGTAAGAAGAGGCATTTGTTTTTTTTTCTTTCTTTTTCGCTGATCAGTTGAATCGATGCTTTAAACATGTCTCAGCATGCTATCAGCAACGTTGTCACCATGAAAGGCATTAATCAGTATCACAAATATTGCAATACATCGATAAACATATGTTCTTTCACTATGTAATCATATAAGGGTTGCATCTGGTGCCGATGGTGATGAACAAGTTTTCTAATTTTCATCTAATACCACTTCTGCTTTTATGGTTTTCACCATCCTTACACCATCCAATGAATTTTATGCTTGCAGATTAGCGATTACATATAATCCCATCCTATTAAGAATTTTGAGCGGCTGATCTATGATCATTAAATCTTTGAGGAATATCGTTTTATTATGTTGAGTAACTGAAAATTCTTGCTTTTTTTTCCATCAAACATACTAATATTCATCAGTTTCATAATCAACCGAGAAGCTTATCAAATATGCAAATTATCCTATGATAGCTTAACTTTATGAAACTTCTTTCTTCATTGTGACAAATTTACATAGGACATATTTTAGACACTCTTTAAATCATGTATTCACACAAAAAATAATGGCTTCCAGTGTCAGCTTCACGCTTGACCATTTGCTTTCTTAATTGCAAAATTTACAAAAATCAGTTTCGTTTCCCAAACAAGGATATAAAAATTTTAGGTGCTTATTTAAATTTTACTAATCATGAGAACATTACGAGTAGCTATCTTCCAGTCTTATGTTTCATTAAATGTCAAAGATCGAGAATAACTAAAGATGTACATAGGCTTACTTATTAAAGAAAGAGAATTATCATAACTATTGCATTTTAGCGGTAACCATTAGCACAACTATGTTTTCATACTTATTATTATTATTATCAGTATTAACTTCCAGAGTGTAAAAGAATGGATTTGATGGATATCTTTAAATCAAATTATTATTATTTTTAATGATCACAATTCTGGCGAAAATGGCGCTAGTGAGACTGATAGTGTTATCAACAGTACTACTGACTTTATTTGTGTGCAAAACGGCAGAGCAAAAGTTATCATTTACATTTCATTTGTTAATTGAAGTTTCTCATTCACATGCAATTACTTTGCAATGACCGCAGAAATGGTCGAAAATTTTAAGTCCAATCAATTGAAATGGAAAAGTTTGCAAATCAGGCAATTATTGGCATTGGATTAATGTCGTTTTATTGAGAACAAATTTCAAAAAGCATCTTTCTTCATTGTAATATCAATTCCTATTTAAAAATGGAAGTTTCTCGAAGAGTTTTCTATTACTTCTCAACTTCACTTCCGTTTAAAATTACTGAACTTCTCAGTTGCATATCAATTTCGATGAAATTTCAAATATCAATGGAAATTTAAAACAACCGGTTTCAAATAACTGCTGGATCAAAATCTAAAGACAGCATCTTGTATCTAAAGACAGCGTCTTGTTTAACCATTTAAATTCCTCCCTTACCTTTAAACAATTTTTGGCAGATGTCTGTGCTGGATGCTTTAGAGCATACTGATTTAAAATAAACTCGGAATCAGCATTCTCAGACTTTGCCATTTTGTTAAAAAAAGCAATCGTCATCAACTATAAAAGGAAAATTATTTTTAGGTATTTCGCATACCTGCAATTATAGTCCTAAATCCACGGACTCCAATCAACAAAAGCAGGTGACGCCACATATTTGATTGTTTGGGCGTATTTTTTGCTTCTTAATTACTCCTACTTAATTGCTACATATTTGTCATCAACAGGCTACCATTTCTGATATGTTTGTTTACCGATCACATCATCTCAGATTTAAAAATTTTTCAAAGGAAATTAGGAAGGAACTGCTTTCTTAGTTCCTCTTCAAATTATCTCACTTTTTCAAAAAATCCTGTTAGTATTATACAATATAAATTATTGGCTTTGATCTCACCAATTCCTCTTTCGCCGTCTTCAATGATTCATAATTGCAATTTTCAACTTGTTCTTAACATTCTTCTCAAAAATTCCAAAAAATTTGTTACAATTTGTCGAATTCCGTGTCACTTCCTTTAATATGAAAAGTAAAGGGAGAATAATTGTCACTTCTACATTGCTCATCAGAAAGCACTTGAGAAAAAAGTCGATTTTGATTCAAGAAATTAAAATTCAATCTTCAGCCTTATTCAATCTTGGCAACCAAACCAGCAAATTCAACGACAAAAACTGCAATGGCGTAATTCTGAACACATTATTGGATTAAGTCGTCAGGTTAGATAATTAATTTATTTGGGGATGAATGTATATATCTTTTTCTATACTAACTAGTATTAGTAATACCATCGGTAGTTCATTAAGGCTTATAGAGAAAGGGCAAATTATCAAAATGTAATTTCAGGTGGTAAAACAACCTTCTTCAATCAATAAAAAACTTCGAGAAAATCTTATAGCGATTGTTGGCTCAGAGTTTCAAAGGTACCTTAATTTACAAATTTTCCGTAATTATGATGGAGCTATTCTGATATTTTTTCATTGCTTTTGATATCAATATGGCTATGGTTTTAGCAATAAATTAAGAAATTCTTTGTTTCAAATTCGCAGAAATACTATGAAAAGAAGAGGAGACGTGAATGCAACAGCAAATGTACGCAAAAATGGCCAACTACCATTGGTTTCTGTCCCATTCATCCTAACTGATAAATTCCAACCGATCATTTTGAGAAACAAATTAGGACAGTCACAATTTGTTCGTCCTCGAAAACTGATCGGAAAAACTTCGTCAGAAGGAATGAAAAAAATTTTGGATCAAGAGAGGACACGGTTTCAACTGCAATGGTTCAACTTCAGACATAGGTAACTTAGCACATTTGGATCATTCTTAAGTCAGTTTTGCACACTTCCATTACTCCGAAAAGGAGATGTACATCAACAAATACATAGATCCTGAAGTAAACGGAAATTTCTACCGGCTGCAAATTAGTTGACAATTACCATTTGCTTTCAGAATTTGACATAAATTTCAACGACCAGTTCTTGAAGAAGTAAATACCGGAAGTGGCATTGATGCACTTTTCTACCATAAACTTTCTCATTGTTGAAATATTCTCCCGTACCGTACTCCGTTTGGAAACTGTTTTTATTATAAAAAGCTTCTTAGATTGATAGGAATGATAATGAGCAATTTCTGATTTTGCTGCACTTTTTACCAAGCTTGTGTTCAAAATGAAAATTTTAAATTGTGAAGTGAAAGCGTTTTATTTACGCCACCGAATTTAATGTGACAAAATCATAATTAATAATGTCTAAAGTATATCTTTTTCAAGAATAAAAAATACTGTTGCGGTTGAAATGAAATTTTTCAACTATTAATTTTATATTGTCATTTTTTTTACAGGAAGAAAAAACAATTCCATTTCAGACCGTTTAATTTCTCGAATCAACTTCCGATGATTATGAAAATCGATGCAACAAGTCATCTACTATCTCTAACAACCACAGGATCACCTATAGCACCTCTTTTACAAAATAAAAACAATTTCGATCTAGAAAGTAGAGATCTGAAATTATTTGGTCGTAATAAGTTCCGTTCAAAATTCCTCCAAGAAGTGCCCTTAACAACCGTTGATATTTTTGGTGTTAAAAGCAGTACTCCTAGAACGATGGCACTCGAGCAACAATCGCAACAAGAGACTCAGCACGTCATATTCCAAAACGTTGAGCAAACTTCAGCAAGTCAATTTTTCGAATTAAAAATTCTTATCAAAGGTTTTTTAAATCATACCATCAAATTTCAAATACCACGTCGTCAATCATAGGATTAATTTCTTTTCCCAAATCGATTTCAGTACTCTACCACCATAATCCAAACTTTGCCGAACTTTTAGAATAAATCCACCGAAAAAGACCACTTTCGAAAGAAATTAAAATCCTAATTATCAATTTTCTCTACGCTTATCGCTTCGCATTTTACCTCTCACGGATAGAACGACATCCGGAGATGTGTAGACTTTTGCGAATAGCAAATTTAATAGAAACTAGACGTTCGAGAACTACTTTTCTGAATATTTAATTACTTAAGTAAATTTTATATCATTTCTGGTCACTGATCTGAATTTGCATAACTTACTTCAGAGGCGCTATTCTTCATCCATACTTTTAAATAGTTCCATTTGCAATCACAATATGAATTTTTTCGCCCCATTTTCAATTTTTTCTATTTTTTTCTTTTGCAGTAACGGGATCGGTGCTTCCAACGACGATAACGGTAGTAGAGGTTCACACTTCACCGCCATTCACCGTTCAGTCTTCCCTTCCTGTTGCGCAACTTGTTCCGAGTTTATCACAAAGTTTGTCAAGCAGTGCTGCACCACCTGGTTTCTCACCACCCAACGATGAAGTGGTTGCGCAGCTGAACGACGCTCAAAACTTCCATGCATTAGCAGAACTTATGCAACTCAGGCGACATTTTAGTAGAAACGGCACTAATTAATTTCAATGAAATTGCACTTTAGGGTAGCAAATATTTTGTAAGTTTTTATCGATATATTAATTAAACTAAGTGATGGAGAATGACTCACCGTTTTGATTCCCGCATAACTGAACACAAGAAAAATTGGAAAATAAAGAAAATTTTCACTCATGCATTTATCTATGAGCATTTTAGAATTTGTCATCTCGAGATCTTTTTTTAAATCTTCTTTGATGCTTCACCACAAATGTCAATAATATGTACGTGCCGATGTATAACCATCCTATCAATTAAAATATTGGAATGCCATCTTAATAATCAAAAAAAATATTGGAATGCCATCTTAATAATCAAAATTTTACTTCTTCGTAAAATGAATCCAAAATTTGGTCAAATTGATTAGAACTGATTTAAATTCAAAGTTAAAAAATTTCCAGTCTAATGAAAAATCGATTCATATAATACACCAATTATCAAACATCAAACAACATCACCTTTTATCTCCTCACTTCTAATTAATATCGCTGTTAATTTTTTTTGACCAATACTTCTTCCCGTTTTATTATTAGTGTATAATAATTTAACACATTTGTCATGTTATCATTTATTGTGAAATAATAACTAATGTTTGTATGCTTGAGTGTATACTGTAGTGTAACTTTCAATTTATTCTAAAAACTCACATATAAATGATTTGTTTTGGATAAGGTAAAGCATTATTTTAATCTTGTTCATGTGATAATTCATGGAACATTAATTTTTAACAGAAGTTAAAAGACATTGACAAAAGACATTTATTTCTGAAGACATTTATTCTAAAGACATTTATTTCTGTTTATATTCTAGCAAGTGACAAATAAAATATGTTGTCAAATAACTTATATTATTAACTGGTACTGTAATTATAATAATAAATACAATGAATACACCACATTTGAACAACTCAAAAACCTTTACCATAATCAGATCAATTCGTTATTCTGTTGCACATCGCATGATTCATCGATTACTACTGCACCAATATGTCGTATTTTAGGCCTACTAATATTTCCTGCAATGTAAAGCAGTGAAGGAATGTATTCGACTTGAAAGATAAACAGAATTTTGAGGAAAATGATTCGAATAGGTTTTAGTGAAAGAAAAAATGACTTTAACTAGATGATTGCGAATGCTTGACAATTGATGAATTTGAGGACATAGCTTTCATAACTGCATCTACAAGTTTCGGTGTATTGATATGTGCCGATATGAGGTAATTTTCCATATTTTCTTGTATCGAAAATTTTGTTTCCTTCACTTTTTCATCTTTTTTCAACATCTCTCTGCAAATTCAAATTCATCAATGAGTAAAAATTATGAAATGTTTTTCGATGCCAAAATTAAGGTTTGCACTATAGATCGAATGTCGTTTTAGAGTGGGGTTTCAGACTGTTTCGACATAAATCTCAAATTGAAAAGTTTTGGGGGAGGGAGCGGAAAAGACACCTAGCTTTTCGTTTTAACAGTTCCTGCGCATCCGGATAATCTTTGATCACATCATTTAGATCTTCCTTGGAAAGAACAAACAGTGTTGAATAACCTTTCGAACGAATGTTTGCAGTTCGACGATTATTGCCACCAATTGCCAATAAACTGAAGGATTTTTTGAAAAATTACATTTCTTTAAGCATTCCAACTAGAGATAAAATAAACTTAAAAACAAGAAATTTTATGGTTCAGAGAAAGGACTAAACTTCTTAACAATAAATTTATATGAAACATTAAAAAATTTTGGAAGCAAAAGAACCATAGGCGAAAAATTAAACGACCTGATTTCACCAAAAACTGATCCTTCAGTAAGTTCGGCGAAAACTTTGCAACTTTGCTCATCATCGACAACCTGAAGAATGCCATCGTTGACAATGTACATTTCCTTACCAACATCGCCCTAAAAATCTAACATTCATAAGCTGGTCAAAAAATGAATCATCTACTGATTAGTTCATCCTAATAGTTGACTGGTGGATAATTATTGATATTTCTTCAGTATTTTGATAGTAAAGCGAATAAAAATTGGTCAATTGTCCACTCATATTTTCACACAGATTGGTACGGCATTTTTCTCTACGATTTATCTGTCATATTATCACACTACGAAAATACTGAAAGAAAAATTACTTTCTTGCAGATCATGTCACCAGGAAGAAAGATTACTGGTCGAAGTTTAAGCACTAACTCGCGAAGTAAAGCTCGATCGCAATCCTTTAGAAATTTTTAGAATTGTACTTTGTAAAAGAATGTATCACACGATAAAATTGAAGAAAATTGTTTGAAAATAACACAGTTTCATTTTCTCGAAAATCAATTCTTTATTCTTCATTTGTCCCATAAAGTTATTATTTTGTCTTTATAGTAAAAAGTCTACAAATTAAAAAATTCACCAAAAGACACCTGGAAAAGTTGAACCTTACTGAGCGTATTATAATGAACTGAAAGTGCTAAATCCGTTTGTAACTTCAGCGGCAACTTTTCGATCAATTTCTTTTCGTCTGGGAATTATTTACACGAATAACAAAGTGCATAAGTTTTCACGTAATATTTCTAAGGAACCAAATGGACTTGATCTAGTCAAAATTGTTTCCAGTTATCATAAAGAACGATTCAAAGATTAGGTAACACACGACGAATCTAGGCTCATAACCTTTATTGTTAACAAACCTAAAGTTTTCTGCTTTTGCCACGTATACATAAACCAATCACGAACACGACTGATAGTATCCTTGGATAGACCGAGTCGTTTACATTCGCTTAGTACTTGATCCATGGACTTACGGTACTGCTCACGATTACGATTTGCATTTGAAACGATATCTCGGATCTAAGAATTAATTCAATTTGAAGACATTGTCTAAACTTAAGTTTTACTAAAAAATTTAAAATTAGAACGATGAGATGTATTTAAATACCACCAGCTAATACATATTTGACAATGATAGAATGGTTTACTGCTTGGATCAAATGGTAATCGTTGATATTCGAACAATTAGTTCTTTCTAAGTTATTGGGACTCAGATTTTTGCGAACTTTAAAAGTTTCAAATTGAATACAACTTATCTGTCCAAGTAGTAAAGCGAAAACGAAAACACCCATCATCCAAGAGAACGTCATGTAGATATATTCAACAATGTTCGTTGGTGCCGGATTATTGCCAGTTGATGTTGCTACTGCTGTCGTGAAGTAAAAACATCGGATGTAAGCATTTCCTGAAATAGATATTCATGTTACTACGGAATCGATATCTACATCATCGTGGAATTTTAAGTTCAGTCATAATCTTCAAGCTATTTGTTTTCTGTGCTCCTTCAAACTTAATTGTGATTGATTTGTGTTATGAAAACTATTCAAGTGATTAACATAAAGGTTATCGCACCATATCAATGTTCTGCTCACCTTGATTATTGTAAACCCATTTATTAAGATACCATTTATTATTCATTCTATAAGCGATTTGCCCAAAGGCTTGCCAAGCACTCAACATGTAATATACACAACTGTTACAGTGAATTAAATAAATCATATATGCAAGAGTTTTCGTTATCCTGCAAACTAATTGCATTCCAGAATAATTCAAAAGAAAAAAAGCGTAATTTCAAAAATTTGTATGCTTATGAATCCAAAAACAATGCTTTCCTGGCATAATGTAATGGACTTTATACTTACAATACCTGATTATATACGGATTTGAGACTGAATTATCGAGGAGGCTGAACAGCTGCCAAAATGATGGAAGCTGAAAAATATCAATAAATATAATTGGCCAACAGCTGAACATTCGATAGTTAAAAGGTATCGAACAATCATTTGCATATCTTTAGTTTCATTTTTTTAACTTTTTTAAAACTGGAAATATTTCTAATTTCGACAAAATTTATACTAAAAGTCGACCTTACATATACGTACAGCACGCCACGCAGCAAGTGGTCCTGTCCTGACATACATAATGTCGAATGGCATCAACGAAAGTAAGTCAAGTTTAAAATCGTTACTGTGCACATAATGTTTCGCCGTTTCTTTTATGTCTTTCTGATGAGAATACAAAAACTGATGCATGGATGATATGGCAAGCAAATAAGTGATTAAATAAAATAGAAAATAAATGGGAAACGAAGTATTCGACACAGAACAATATACCAAAAAAGTAAGCATTTTAACAGATATTCGCGCCATTAACGAATAAAATTTTAAATAAACCTGAGGACTGCATGATATGTAAGTTTTCATTTGCATATTTACATGTTTTGTTCTATATCTGTTTATATGCAAATATATTTTATCTCTACTTCATTATTGTTTACTTTTTTCATCCCTGGACGTAATGAAAAGTAAGCAATAATAAACGTGAGATGCATATCATATTTATCTTTTTTTTTAGATTTATTCCACCAATATTTATTAAACAAATTACTTACTACCGGAAGCCCACCACGCATGAAACGAAGCCTTGGCTTGATAAATAACATATCTACCAAATATATAGCATCAGCGATGTAATCAGCGATAAGCCAGTAAACCAGATTAGATTCTGTCTGATATGGATAGGAACTTCGTAGTGGAATACCGAAGGCATTGTATAGAAATGCTATCACCACTATGGTCAACCAAATTAAGTATTCTCGATCTGGAACCATGAAGAGACAGGATCAAGCAATAAGTTTGAAATCGAAACGATACTGAGGAAATATGGGAGGGCCTAAAAAATGGGCAAAACCTCAACATTACTCAAAAAGCCTTGCAATTTAAGTCACAAATAATTAATATGCATAATTAGAACTTACACTTATCAATCTTTATCAATGAAATTTTAGGTTCGATTATTAAATGTAAAAGAGTGGCTGAAGGGAAAGAATTACAACAGATAAACAATCGGTAGGTACAACTTTTCCTTTGTCCTTCTTACCATAAGGTTGGGTTATCGGGATGATGGAAGTGAGCAATTAAACTTATTACTGTTAGTGAATAAGATATTAGTAAACAAACGGAATGGACTGAGAGATGACAAAAAGATCCGTCGCAGATAGCTCCTGGATTTGTTTGTATTTTTAACACTTACTGGAGATATACCCGGCTAAAAAATAGAAAACTGCTTTTAAATTTCAGAAATTTGAAAATTAGAAATATTTACATTTTCTCTTTATCTCTTTTATTCACTTATCATTCCTTATGTTTGTAAATAAAAAGAAATAAGCTAATTTTTAGCTGAAATTCTTAATTGGATTTGAAAGTAATTGCTTGAAAAACTGACTTGAAGTCCAATCAAAGACATCAAGCTTGGACGATTTTCTTTCCTAGCAGCAACTTCAATATTTTCTGAGCATTTATCTTCATCCTCTGATTCTCTCATTATTTCATCAACCACCTATTTAAAGCAAGAAGTTTAGAATTCAGGAAAGAAAAAGTTTAACAGCATTATTTGCGAAGTTTTATCACGAGAAAAGTGTGATCACTAACTTAGTTCGCATCGAAGTTTCGACTTAAAGCTCATCAATATAAGCACTTTGTAGTAATTAATTGCAAGAGGTGAAAAGTTTCCTCGACGGAAAATTTAATGCAAAAATGAGCTATTGATGAAATTTTGAATTCATTTTCCAAATTTTGTATTCATTTTTCGAACCAATTTCCGAATTCGTTTTTTCATTACCTCATGATCGTGTCTAAAGTTACATTTATTACAAAAGTTATCTGAGTTTACCAGATATCTCAGAAAATACTGCTAAATAATAATTTAGTTCTGTTACCTGAGAAGTGCGGCGTCGTATACTACCGGTTAAAGCATGAAGTTTTCCTTTCATAATGAATGATAGCCTCGAATGGTTATCACCATCACTAATAACTTTTGTAATTATCTCATTCATTTGCATATTATCCCGCCAATCAGTGGAAGCAGATGGACATCTTGGAATGCTCGCTTGTCCTTCGATTTCCTCCACCTGCACTAGGGTCTCAAGCTGTATGTCAGGAATGTTTCCTTCAGTTACCGCCGGTAATCTCTCGACCGAATGAAAAACATTGTTGTTTATAGTTGAGTCCTCATTCTCTTCCATCACTCGCATTTCCCTGTGGATAGACGAACTGAACAGTAGATAACTAAAGTCAGCAAATCATACTCATACTTGACAACAAAACACCACTTGACCTTAAGATATTCTTTAGTTTAATTATAATTTTCTGAAAAAATTATATGAGCATATACTGAAATCTCATAATTTATGACTCGAGAAAAACTGATGCATATGAATGTTTTTGACATTGAGAAGATGTAAACATATTTCAACCGTTTAATAAAAAGTAAGCCAAGTTAAATAAATTCATACATCATTTGATGTGGTTCGTGTGACCTTTGCTCCTGATAATTTTGAAAGGAATGCATTTGGTTATGATTCTGAAATTGTCGAAAAATCAACTACTTCAAAAGAAAATTAACTTGCGTTTTTAATTGAAAAATCTAATCAGTTTCAATAAATGGATGATCCTAGACAAGAATTACGACAGTTTACAGTTAATAGCACATTATCCCGGCAGTACTATTGATGCTTGTTGTCATCCCCGCAGTACTAGGATGTTTATTTCAATTACAAGATCTCATTTACAACTTTGCTTTAGAATTTAGCAAGATTATAAATATTAGCAATCTATTATTTGAAAGATTTCCAAGGAACGGTTAATTTGAGCACCGATTAGCTTGGTTAACGTCGAATATTGGAAAGAAGAAAGTTAACAGTTATTTGCATACTCTGTATTGACGGAGACCTCATTTGTCCTGCCTCGCGCAACATTATAAGAATGTATAAACACAAGGAACAGGAAACTGGATTACGTGTCTTGGTAGATAATTCAGTTGAGATTCAGGGAAACAAATTTAAGGGCCTTTCAATTATCTACACCACTTTATTAACAAATTAAGGGTGCAAATGGACAAAACACTAATAACTGTCAACAAAATTATTCTACATCAATTCTAGCATGAATTTTGGCAAGAATAGTAATAGTGGAGCATTACTTTAACTAGACTAAAGTCTTTTGAAAGATGCTTGGATTTGGAAAAAAATGAGGAAAATTGTGATCAAATTCACTCTGCAAGTACATTTTAATGATGAAGATTTATTGGAGAAGGAAGTCACGGCACATTATGTGCTTTACATAAAACTCTTCTTTCCGACTCATTGTTTACACTAGTTGCCATGGTCTCCACATTCATTTTAATTATTATCATCACTATAATTAAAAGTATGCAGTTATAAGTGCTATTCCTGCTCTCAATCTTTTTCATTCCCTTTCATTGGTATTTTTCATAAAATCCAACCAGATTTTGCTACAGGCAATAAATAAAACGTAAAAGCGGAAAAGTTTTGGAAAACCTTTCCAATATAAACGATAGATTATTAGTTGAGTTTTACATCAGCGATCATCAATAAACGATAGATTATTACTTTTTTTTATATGTCATATATATCTTCCAAAGATCACAAACGCCCAGTATCCAGAAGGATCAAATATCCCCGAGAATTTCGAAAAGCATTCAATAAACATGTCCTCTTTCCTTTCTTAAGGATGTGTTCTTTTTTATTTCTTTTCAAAATTTGGCTTAAATTGAAATTATTGTCAATTTCAATTACTAATCTTCTCATAGCTAATTCCGAGCAATCAATTCTCCTCTTCTATATGACAAAACCGAAAAACACTTGATCAAAAATCACAACCGCATGAATCTCCACACATTACAGATTCACACTACACAAAACTACTGCTTACAACAGATCAAGTTTACCCGCTAAAATGAACTTTTTTTTTCCTCAAAAAAGTATGATCTAAATTCCATCAGTGATATTCGGTATTCTTAACCATTGCCTCACTTTGTTATTTTTTAATTCCTCCGACTATTAAGATTCCGAATATCATATGATTCCTTAAACTGATTACAAAACAAATTTTTGGTAGCAACAAAAAAACCACAGTTCGCATCGTCTTAAATGTTAATTAGAATCAATCTTTAATTAACACTTAGATTGTGTCACATGTCATTCTTGAACGCTGATGACTGAGAGTTTCGATGTGGGGAATTGTTTTTCTTTTCTTTGTTGAACTCGTTTCTCGGCAATACAGATTTATTCGGGAGGTAATATTGTTCTTGCACAATATTACTAGTTAACAACAAGAAAAAGATACAAATATGTATGTATATAACCCGATGAATTGATAAGCAATGATAAATGAGTTATAGAAAAAGCAAATAATATGATCAACTAACAAACTCCTTATCGTTGCCTTGGATAATAATTTGACTGTCGGTTAGTTGATAGGTCGTTGAGTTGGAAATATGTTACGGGATATGTATTTAGCGAATAGAGGAATATCGTAGTTTGTTATCCAAGAGTGCGGATATGTGAAGATATCGTTGGTTATGGGTTAGTCGCGGAGGATAAGCGATGAGGATGTATCGTCTGCTCGATT